CAGGGTCTGCTGGCTGGGTGCTGGCAGGCTTGCACCTGGCACGGGCACCATAGCCAGCCCGTGCCCCTTTAAGGGGTCCGGGGCCGGGAGGGGGGCAATAGAGTTTCCCTGGTGTTGGTCAGAGTGGCCACCAGGGAAAGCTGGGGAGGGCTAGCCTCCCACTAGTTCGAATTAAGGGGCTACACACCCCTTAATTTGAACTAGTAAGTTCGAACTAGACTTAGTCCTCGTATAATGAGGTTTACCTAGTTCGAACTAAGCGCTCCGCTAGTTCGAATTAAGTTCGAACTAGCGGAGTGCTAGTGTAGCGCCTATCAAAGTTAATTCGAACTAACGTCCGTTAGTTCAAATTAACTTTGTAGTGTAGACATACCCAGAGGGATAGTCGTGTTAGTCTCTTGCCGCAAAAACAATGAGGAGTCCTGTGCCACATGAAAGACTAACAAATGTATTTTAGCATAAGGTTTTGTGGGCTGGAGCTCACTTTGTCATGCATCTGAGGAAGTGGGCTCCAACGCATGAAAACTCATGCCCAGATAAATTTGTGAGTTTTCAAGGGCCACAAGAACATCCCTAAGGTACCTAAAAATCATAGCAGACAATACAGGTTCCTGAACCAAACATAGGGAAACTTCATATTGCACCTTAAGCCTCTGTCCATAGTGTGTAGAAAGACATAAAGAGTGTATAAAAGTGTATAAAAGAACACTCAGAAAAAAACTTTCAAATAAAACTAGCACACAACACGAGACTCGCCCTCGGTTTCTTGAAGCAATAAGTAGCCTAAGGCTGAGGATACACTGCAAGTGAGGCTTTCAGTCTGCCGTGAAGACTTTTTTCTTCAGGCTGCTGTGAGATTCTATCAGTAAGTAAAGGAGAGACGTCTCTCTGAGCTGCTCTTCCAAATTTCACACAAGCCATTCAACTGAAGCCGTAGATGTCAAGATTCAAGGCCAGCCTTGCCTTTGGCAGACTGCCCCACCAGGTGTTCACAATCACAACGTCCGAACATCTATAAGACTTTTAGCTGAGAAAGCCATGTTTAAACCCAAGTCTCTGCTAGGACAGGGAGATGTGGGTGGCCTATAGAAAACACCAGCATTTTCTTTGGAAAATCCACAACAAAACGTGGGGGGATCGATCACCCCGGTAATGCCAACTCCTCTGGAATTGAGGCTCTGATTATCCAGCACCAGCTGAGGCAGAGCGTGCACTGCATGCACATGTCTGATACATTTTTACCAAACCTGCTACCTGCCCAATTTGTCAAAGGAGAAGGGAAACAGGAAGCCAAAAGGAGCACTGTTTCTCAACCTTTTTTAAAATAAAGTATCTCTTTACTCTGTCCCTTTACAGGACCAAAGCACTGTCTAGATCTTCCCTGACAGGTGTCTGTCTAACTTGCTCTTAGCTATCTCCAGAGATGGAGATTCCACAACCCCCCTAGGCAATTTATTCTAGTGTTTAACCATCCTGACAGTTAGGAAGTTTTCCTAATGTCCAATCTCCCTTGCTGCCATTTAAACCCATTGCTTCTTGTCCTATCCTCAGAGGTTAAAGAGAATATTTTTTCCGCTTCCTTCTTGTAACATCCTTTTAAGTAGTTCTAGGGAATCTGACATTGGCCATTGTTGGAAGACAGGATACTGTGTAGACGGATCTTTGGTCTGACCCAGTATGGACGTTCTTATGTTCTTAAAGCTGCTATCATGTTCCCTCTTAGTCTTCTTCTTTCCAAACTAAAGACACCCAATTCTTTCAAAAGCTTCAGGGAGTAGCCGAGTTAGATGACAGGATAAACTTAAAAAACAACACTTACGTCTGGTAGCACTTTAAAGACTAACAAAACATGTAGATGGTATCATGAGCTTTGGTGGGCTGTGCGTTCCAATTCTTTCAGTTTTCCCTCATAGCTCACGTTTTCTAGATTTTGTATCGTTTTTGTTGCTCTTTGCTGGATCTTCTTCAATGTTCCACAGCTTTCATGTTGTTAGTGCTTCTCACAGACAGCTCATCCTCTGTCATGATCTGCTAGCTCCTTCACTTTTAGCTCCAACTCCCACTGCTTCCAATCCATTGATAGAGACCTGCTCATGAAAGAACTGGAAGAACTGACACCTGATACAACTTGAAGCTGCTGTCACTTCCATGTCAAGGTGATGACTCCAGGGGAGCCTAGGCACAATTCAGCTTGTGTACTGGTGTGGAAGCTGTAGCCAGCTGCACGGTACTAGGAATTACCCCTCAGGCTCCAAACACCTCTCTTCCCCCCAGGAAGATAGACATCAGTACATGCTCACATGTGAGTGCACACCCAAACACATCTGCATGTGAGCACAAATGCCTGTGGGCGAACGCACACCTATACAAGCCTGAATGCATACACACGAGTGCAGATGCCTACAGGTGCACCCTCCCCCCATGGGAGCACACACCCACACCTGCACACAAGCACACACCTGCATGTGAGCACACACCCACACACATTCATACTCAGACACACACGCTCTCACACACAGCTGCCTGTGGATGACCATGTATGCACAGGCGCATGCATGGTTCTCATTTTAACTTGCTTTGCTGACACGCACCCATCAAGCAAAGCCAGCTCTCTCCAGAGCTCTGTGTGTGTCTGATGCTCCCTGCCAGGCCCTGGGCCTTTCACAGCCACAGGGAAAAGTGCCAGCCCTGACTCCAGGGCTGATGTCATCCTCTTTCCATGGGAGAATGGCCAAGAGGTTCCTGCCACAGAGAGCGACTGTAGGGCCCAGGGGAATTCCTAGGGCAGGAAGTGAAACTGGCAGGTGCAGGGCAGCCCCCTGCCAGGTGAGAGAGGGAAGCCGTTCAGGAATCCCGGGGGGAAGTCCCAGCTGGGTGGGGAGCTGGCTGAACTCTAGTTCCTCCTGTGCTGAGGTGACGGTAGCTGTGCAGTGAACGGGAGACGTGCCACTGCAGTGACGTCATTGCCACATTCTCATGCAATCCCAGCTAATCACAGGATATATAAGAGCCACCAGAGCCTGCTATTGCCCCCGGACACGGAGGACAGCTGAGTGGAGAGAGCCAGGCAGCCCACGGGAGCCCAGCACCAGGTAAGCTGTTCCTTAGAAAGGAACAACAAAGTCTCCTTTCTTCTCTTGCCCATTTCTGACTCTTCAGGGCACTAGGCAGAGCTGGAGCAGTGATACCTCCTGAGGGTGGGGACCCAGGCCTGGGCACAGTGTCACACACAGGCAGTCCCCATGGCTTGGTACAATGTCAGTACCTTCCCCTGCCCCTACCGCCCTCATGAACCACTGGCTAGAGTGCTCCCTTCCCTCCCCATGGTGCAGCTGTAAGCTAACAGCTGTAAGCTTTCAGCTACACTCTGCCTCTAGGGTCCAGGGGGATGGGCCATTGCAGGAACTACATGGATGCTAAGATCCATCTCTGCCTCGGAGACTGAGCCCCTCCTGGCTTTGCCACCAGCACCTTGGGCGGCCTGGGTGGAGCCTGTAACCGGGAGGAGTCAGTCCTGACCTAGGCTGCCTAAGTCACCTCTTCCCCCAGGAGAGTCACTCCCCAGAGCCATTGCTGGGCCTGGGCAGAGCCAGAGCCACAGGGAGGGGCAGCTCCCAGGAACCTCAGCAAAGAACCCCTAGGCTGGCAATTTTCCCTAGTGCTTGCTCCACTGTCACACTCCATGTGCACAGCAGCTTCCCCCCAGCTAGCTGCTAACAGCAGCAGCATGGCCACAGCTGGTGGCCTTGGCTAGCTGCTTGAGCCGGTACCCAGCTGACCTCTGAGTATGGACCCGGGGCACTAGCCCAACCCAGAACCAGCATGCAGCTGCTGCCCTGTTACAGCATGAGCTCCAACAGAATGGAGGGAGGGGGAAGCAGCCCCCAGCTGCAGCATGCCCTGAATGCATGACAAGGCCCAGCTCCCTGGCTCCCTCCTCCACCACACCCCGCAGCTCCTTGCAAGTCTCTGGTTTCTCTTCCCCACAAGGGAGGATAAACCTGTCTGACCAGGCTGGGTTGATCTGGGCTAAGGGCGCTGTGTGACAGAGGTGGGCAGTGGCTCTAGGGTGGGGCTGTCTTTTCCCCTCTAGCCATCCAACAGGATCACAAAGCAAACACCAGCACAGACAGCAGGGGAAGAGAGGTCAGGCCATGGCCTGAGGCATTCTGGAAGCAGGGACAGTACAACTGAGAAAGGGCAGATACAGGGCAGCCCTGAACACTGTGCACAAATGCCTGCCTTAACCCGAAACTCCTCCCAGCCCTGCTCTGGGCTTCCCCAGGCCTGCCGTTGCCCCTCACTCCTGACCCAAACATCCTGCCAGACTAGTCCTACTCCCACAGCCCTGCTGCTGCCCCTCACTCCCAATCAACAGCCCCTGACAGCCCAAGGACTACCGGAGGGACAAGGGAAGGCAGGGGAGAGACAGGGCAGTGGGACAGGATTGGTAGGGGTTACAAGGCAGAGGGACAGGAGCTTAAAAAGCAGAGGGCCAGGAGTGGGTAAGAAGTGACAGGGCTGAGGGACAGGAGGGTCAGGTGGTAACAGGGCAGAGCAACAGGAGGGGTCAAGAGGTGACAGGGCGGGGGACAGGAAGGTCAGTGGGTGATAGGGCAGAGGGATGGAATGGGGCAGGGGGTGATAGGGCAAAGGGACAGGAGGGAATAGGGGACATAACAGAGGGACAGGAGGGGGAGAGGGTGACTGAAGGAAGGAATAGGAGGGGGCACAAGGTTACAAGGTGGAGGCACAGGAGGAGGAAGGGGGTGACAGAGCGGTGGGACAGAAGGGGTCCAGGGGTGACACAGCAGAGGGAAAGGAGCTGGGAGGGGGTGATAGGGCGGAAGGACAGGAGGGCCTGGGAGTGACAGGGCGGCAGGAGAGGAGGGGCTGGCGGTGACAGGGCAGGGGGGGAGGATCGGGGATGGGGTGATCGGATGGAGATACAGGAGGGGCCTGGTGGGACAGGATGGCATGACAGGTGGGGGTTGGAGGTGACAGGGCAGAAGGACAGGAGGGACATGGGGTGACAGAGCAGAGAGGCAGGAGGGACAGGATTGATAGGGTGGAGGGAGAGGGTGACAGGGCAGAGGGATAGGAGGGGCAGGAGGTGATGGGAGAGGGACAGGAGGGGCCAAGTGTGACAACATGGTGAGACAGGGCTGGCCAGGGGTGACAGGGTGGAGGGACAGGAGGGAACTGGGGAGGGGGGTGTAACAGGGCACAGGGAGAGAGGCGGGGAGGGAGTTAAAGGGCAGAGAGATAGGAGAGGCCAGGTGTGACAAGTTGGCATGACAGGAGGGGGTTGGGGTGGCAGGGCAGAGGGACAGGAGGGGCCAAGTGTGACAACATGGTGAGACAGGGCTGGCCAGGGGTGACAGGGTGGAGGGACAGGAGGGAACTGGGGAGGGGGGTGTAACAGGGCACAGGGAGAGAGGCGGGGAGGGAGTTAAAGGGCAGAGAGATAGGAGAGGCCAGGTGTGACAAGTTGGCATGACAGGAGGGGGTTGGGGTGGCAGGGCAGAGGGACAGGAGGGGCAAGGAGTGACAGAGTGTAGGGACAGGACAGGGTCAGGGGTGACAGTGCAGGGAGACATAGGAGCAGGTGGGGCTGACAGGAGGGGCAGAGGGACAAGAGGAGGCAGGAGGTGACAGGGTGGTGGGACAGGAGGGGGAAGAGGTGACATGGTAGCAGGACAGGAGAGGGCAGGGGATGACAGGGCACAGGGACAGGAGGGGGAAAGGGTGACAGGGTGTTGGGACAGGAGAGGAGGTGAAAGGGCAGTAGGGCAGGAGGGGACGGGGTGACAGGGTGGCAGGATAAGAGGGAAGGGGTGACAGGGCAGAGGGAGAGGAGGGGCCTGGAATAACAGGATGGTGGGACAGGGTGGGGACAAGAGGTGACATGGCAGCAAGACAGGAGGGGTAGGGGGTGACAGGTCAGTGGAATAGGAAGGGCTGTGGGTGACAGGGTGGTGAGATGGGAGGGGAGGGGGTGACAGGGCAGTGCGACAGGAGGGAGGGGGTGACAGGGCAGAGGGAGACGAGGGGACTGGCATAACAGGATGGTGGGATGGGATGAGGTGGGGGTAAGAAGTGACATGGAGGCGGGACAGGAGGGGCCAGGGATGACAGGATGGTGGGATAGGAGGGAGGAGGTAACAGGGTGCAGGGAGAGGAGGGGCCATGGGTGACAGGGCGGTGGGATAAGAGGGAGGGGGTGACAGGGCGGTGGGATAGGAGGGAGGGAGTGACATGGAGGAGGGAGAAGAGGGGCCATGGGTGACAGGGCGGTGGGATAAGAGGGAGGGGGTGACAGGGCGGCAGGACAGGAGGGAGGGGCCATGGGTGACAGGGCGGAGAGAGAGGAGGGGAGGGGGTGACAGGGAGGAGGAAGAGGTGTGGGCTCAGAGTGATAGGATGGTGGGATAGGGGACTGGGAGTGGCAGGACAGGAGGGGCAGGAGGTAGTTGCTAGGGAGGCAGGGGCCATGCCATTTGGGTGGATGGCCATGGCCTGGCCAGCCAGCGGGGTGCTGGGCTGGCTGTGCTCTGCAGCCCGTGCCATCCCTCGGAGGGTTTGGGGAGTGCCACGAGCTGCAGTCGCGCCTGGCCATCCTGCTCCATGTCTCCTACCCTGCCCTAAGCACTGAGGGGCAGGTTCAGCTCCCCGGCGAAGGGGCAGAGTCCGGGAGTGCACAACACTGTCCTTCGCCTGTCCCTGGGTGCAGCAGCCCCGGGGACGGAGACTTTGACACCCGGCCATAGGTGTTTGCTCTGCACGGCAGGGAGACGTGCAGCTCGCTCTGGCCGGACACTGGGAGACTCACGCTGCCCTTGGAGACGATGTGCTGCCCAAGGCTGTGGTTCTTCGCTGTGCTGCTGGGTCTCAGCACCTGGCTGGAGCCTAGCAAAGGTAGGAGTGTAGCCGGAGCTGCTCTCTAGGGAGACCTGTGTGAGGCTGCGTGGTGGGGGCCAGCCCTGAGCAGCCGCAGCTCAGGTGAGGCGAGAGGCTGAAGGGGCCCTCCCTTCTGATACCAGTCTAGGCCCCAGGGGAGAAGGCGGATCTCCCCTTAGGGTATTTCATTCAGCTCCAGCACTGGAGGCAGAGTCAGGGCCTCCTTCTAGCTCAGAGCAGAGAGTTCATGTGACTGGGGAGTGAAAGCATGTTTGTCCCTCTGGGAACAGAGTCACTGAGGGGACTTGGGGCCTGGGCCAAGATACCTGGGCCTGAGCCAGGCTTCTGCCAGGTTCATTTTGCTTCTCCAGTCCCTTGCTCCCCAAGGCACTCATTGCCGCAGACAGTGTGTGGGAGGGGAAGTGGCAGATCCGCACAGGTCTGAAAGCATGAGGCCGACTCCCCGCAAGCTTGCGATTTAGAAGAAGAATATGGTTTGGGGGCTGAGTCTTTGTGTGCCGGTTTTGGAGCCATTGAGGGCATGCTAGGGTCACTTTTCCAGGCCTTTTTCCATTGCTAGGCGAGTGAGAAACTCCCCGTTTTCCTGACAGCTGAGACTCCCAGCTCAGTTTGACAGATGGGAACTGAGGCTAAAGGGTACGCATACACTGGGGCTGCAGAAGCAGATCGCCTCATGTTGGCTCTGCCCAGTTTGGTGTGTGACAAAGAGCAGCATAACCACAGTGACACGGGCAGTGGGCTCAGGTCCGTACTGGGATTGCCCTCTGGGCAGCTAGGCCCATTAAGCCTGGGGTACCTACTGAGCTGGGAGTTACACCCAGGAAAACTGACAGCCACGCTGGGTCCCTGGGCAAGGTGTGTGGGTGCAGATCCGCGCTCTTGGAAGAAGCAGAAGCAGCAGCTGGGAGTCCCTGCCCCTTTAGAATCACCGGGTCCTGGGGCAAACCCCCTTTGCCTCCCATTGGTGGGCTTGGTTACACCCCTCACCTCATTGTCAACATGGCCTGCAGGACTTGCCCTAAAGCACACAGAGTCAATCTCCTTTTTCCTCCCTGGTTCCCACCCCCACCCCATACCCAACCATCCCGCAAGAGGCACAGAGTGAAAGTGACTTGCTGCAGCCTGCTGCCTAAGAATCAGAGAAGCTGGCTGGGAAAAGGAGGAAGCATGGTGGGGGTGGCCGGGCGTGGTTTATTCCCCCCAGTCTCTTTCAGTGAGTCGGATCTCAAGGGTCACCTGGGAGCCTGGCAGGGGAGGCTGGTCACACAGGAGAGGGCTGTTCTCATTGCCCCTTTGAGCATTGTGTTTCTTCTCACTGTTTTACAAAACAACCCTTCAGCCTCACAGAGTCAGGCAGCCACAATGCCAGGGCTCTGCACAGCATTCACAGTGCAGGGACCCATGCTGCAGAGCGGCTCCCAGACAGCTCAGTGTGCTAATGACTCAAGCAGTGGGGCCCTGGGCACACCTTGCCTGCCAGGTGTACCCCCAGGATCACACCGCCCAGTGCCTGGGGCACACCTGGCAGGGCAAGATGTGCCCAGAGCCCTGCTGTGCAGGGCTGCTTGGGTAGCAGTCTGGATGGCTTCTACATCAAACAGGGAGGCCACTAGAGAGCTCCAAACTCTTGAAGGGACATTCCCCAGTGCCTGTACGCTGCATAGTCTTCCTCCTTTGGCCCGCAAATTACTTCTACGCGTAAACAACACCTCCCATATGTCCTCTAACCTAGTCCCTAGTAGAGGCACTCCAGCATCTCAGCTTGGCCTGGAGCCCCTCAGAATCGGCATCCATCCCCCCATGACTATTGTTTAATAGTCAGCCTTGGACTATTTTGAGAACATGACATTATGTCAAGTTGAAAAACAATCTCCCAGAATAGCTTCAGTCAGAGATGGCAATTCTGCCAGCATTCTCAATGCCCTCCGTATTGTGTCAGCAAACTGAGTCTGCAATTGTCCGGTGTTGCCCTGGCCAGCTGGGGGCAGCGTGTGGTTCCCTGACCAGCCCATCTTCTCCGCGTGCCCCACTTTTTTTGCAGCTCCAGCAGCGTCTGGCCTGAGCCAATCACTCGTATTGTGAAGCGAACAGCTTTCCAGTTGACTCTGAGCTGTGCCCTCTACTTGGCCCCTGTGGATCTGCAGCAGAGGGCATGTGACGCCATTGGCACTCTGTAGGCACTTCCACTGACACAGCAATTTCCTGTGCTCAGCCAAAGCAGCCTGTCAGCATCGGGGCTTGGACTGCCTCACTTTGTGGACCCCACGCTGATCCATCCCCATGCTGCCTCAGGTCAGCTCTCTCCAAGCTGGCAGGCTATGTCTACGCTACAGAGTTTTTGCGCAAAAACTTGCAGAGCGTCCACACCTCAAGCGCGTTTTTGCGCAAGAGAATCGAAAGAACAGAAGGGGGTTTGTACAATTGTATTCCTCTTGCACAAAAGGTGTGTGTGGACGGGGAACAGGGGGTTTTGCACAAGAAATGGCCTCCAGGAAAAAAAACAGGTGGCCACTCCGTCCAAGGTCATCAGAACTCTATAGTTCCTGTCTGCTGGCCCCTCTTAAAGCTGCAGGTACCCTGGGCAAGTTTTGTGGCAGGAAGCCAGCCTGAGAGCAGTTCCCTCAGTGTGTGGCTCTCTCTTGCACTGCCATTGCCACCTATGGCAGAGCCACAAGCCTCCTGAGACTCTCCCCTCCCCCCCCCCCGCCTTCCAGGGAGCAGCCCCAGGTGTCCCAGGACGCCCAGGGGGAAAAAAAGGGGCACCCTATCATGGTCTGGCCCGGAGATTGTGACCCTCCTGGAACTGTGGGGTGAGAAGGAGTCCCTCCAAGATCCCCGGGCCAAGCGGCACAATGCCGACATATTTTCAAGGATGGCTGTATCCCTGCCAGAGTTAAGTCACCCTGCCCAGACCATGGAGCAGGTCCGGAGCAAGGTGAAGGACCTCTGTCAGGGGTATGTGAGGGCCACTGAGCTCAGCACACACTCAGGGGCAGGACCCCACACCTGCCCCTACTATGCGGAGCTCCACCTCATATTGCGAGATGGGGAAATGTCTTCCCCACACATTTTGTGTTGGACTCTGGGCTGGAGACACCAGTTATCATCTGCCCGGAGGTCTCCCCCAAAGGAGAAGGAACAGGAGCCAGGAACTGTGACCCTGTCCCTCGAGCCGGTCACCGCCAGCCAGGATGTCTCCCAGGCCTCTTCGGATGCCTGGACGGGAACTTCAGGTGAGTTGTCACACACGGCAGGGGAGGCAGGCACACAAGGGGCTGGGGGTGAGTGTCGCTCGGGCTCCACATGGTGCTGTGGGCCATGCACATGCAACAACATGCAGCATGAGTGTGTGGCATGCGGACACAGCAGGCAGCCCCTGAACACGCTTGGGATCCTGCTGCCAGGCTCGGGGGAGGCCACACACGTCCTGCCCCCAGGGGGGTGCACCCATCTGGAAGCAGGGTAGTCACACAGACCGAGGAGTGCCGCACACAGCACACAGCCATGCCTGCACAGAGTTAGCAAGCCGCAGCTGTGTGTGCAGACCCCAGGGAGGGCTAGGCTGCTCCCAGCTCCTCTGCCGCCCATGAGGGGATGCCACTGTGGCAGGCCACTTCCCTTGCCTGTGGGGGGCGGGCAGGAAGCGGGCAGCATGGTCCTCTGGACACATCAGGGCCCCTGTGAGACAGGGCCACACATGGCCTTGCACCCAGGACATTCCCCCTCCTGTGGGCTGCTGACTGTTGTGGTCACCGCTCACAGAGGAGGGCACAGCCTCAGGGACAGTGTCTGCAGGGATGACTGACCGCCTCTCCCTCTTGTGTGTTCTCCACAGCTGGACCAGCTGGGACAGAGCCACACCACTGTAGCCACCTGCCAGAGTCTGGGGAACCCACAGATGATGGGACATCCAGCACACTCTGGCACGCAGGGTTGGTGCTGACCTGGAGGGGCAGAGACGAGCCTGGGGCCAAATGCTGGCACGTTGTGACACCATGTATGGCATCATGTCCCACATGGCAGCACACCAGCCTCTTGTCCCCCCTCCTATGGCCATTGCCCTTCCGCCAGCCCACCCTGCTATGCCTTTGACCCCTCCCCATGCCATGCCTCTGTTCCCTCCCTTAGAAATGGCCATGCCCCCGCTCCAAGTGATGCCTATGCCCCTCCTCCTGCCCCCCCCCCCCCTCCCCTCCCCCCCCCACTCACGCCTCCCCTCCCCACTCCTATGGCCATTGCCCTTCCGCCAGCCCACCCTGCTATGCCTTTGACCCCTCCCCATGCCATGCCTCTGTTCCCTCCCTTAGAAATGGCCATGCCCCCGCTCCAAGTGATGCCTATGCCCCTCCTCCTGCCCCCCCAGACTCTGATCTCGCCCCCCCTCCTGTCCAGCCCTTCGTGGCCCCCAGACCAACACACCCTTGACGC